TTCAAACTGGCATGTAACTTTTCGGAGTAATAAGGAGTATTACACGTCTAAATCTTTTCTATCTCTATTCTCGTCTTGATGCGCTGGACGCATGCTTCCGTGAATGTAATGCCATGGTGAAGGCTCGTAGCAAAAACTGAGTAAACGGAGGAAATGAAAAAAGCTTATGATAGTGAATGACACCTATCGGAAGATATCGTAAGAGTGGTGTCTTGTCGTTAGTATATGTCAAGCAGTGCGTTTAGAAGAGTACGGTACGTCCGAAGTACACCTTCGATTGGCGGGATGATGGAATATTGGTGTTATTCATAAAGTTGTCCCATCGGATGAACTTTCCACCACCAACCAAGTTGAAGCAGGATTGATGACTGGAGATACACATGGAAGAAATCATAGTAGAGTCTAAGGAAACTTATATGATTATGCGGACACATTCATATGTGTTAAATTGTTTTCTGATTTTAGGACTTGGGGATTGAGAGACAATACTTGGGACGAGTATGAGTAGGTGTGAAAGGTAGTAGATGCATATACTACCGGAATCACAAGACTCACACTTGGATCAGGAAAAGTCATAAGGTTACCAAGAAGCTAGTGATTGATACCGTTTTATTCTGGTATGTCATTACCATTGTTTCGGTAATGACTAGTGAGATGATTTTTTTTTTTTTTTTTTGTTTCGACCCTAGTGGTCGTATCCAAATTGAGTCCGACTACGATGAGTTGGTTACATGGTCCAGAGGACCAAATTCGATGTAACATCTAACTTAAATCAGAAGATTGGAATCATTTTACAAGCCCTATTTCGTTGATGATTCTGGTACGTAATCATCCTAAAGGGGTGATAATTGTAACGCCCGTAGATCCGGGCTAGTCAATTTAGAGATAATAAGGGTCGAAAATGAATTTTCGACAAAAGATTATTTAGAATAAATAATCTTAACTAAGTTATAGTATATGTTACAAGGATTCCGTACATATAAAGAACGCTAAAAGTTGAGTTATAACGAAGAAGTTATGACCTATCGAAGTTTCGCGATAGAACCGACACGGCGCTGAATGACGTAAAAAGTGAATTTATGTTAGAGCGATACTTAGCCTTAGAGATCTAAACGAAAGTTTTAGAGTTCGTTAAACCGTGAACGTGCATAAAAAGAACGTCCAAATCTGACTTCGTATGAGGAAGTTATGATTTTTCTAAGTTTCGACTTAGCGGTATGCAGCCCGAATACTCGATTTGAGATCGAGCGGTTTTTAGCCGAAACAATCTAAACGAGAATTGAAGATCTTGTTGATAGTAGTCCAACGGTAAAAAATGACAGACGAAAACAGACATTGGATGAAGAAGTTATGAATTTATAACGGAGTTTTCCTGTCCCGGCCTACTAAAAATAATATAATAAAAATAAAGTCAAAATTAGCCAACGTAGTCTAAATGAACGTTGTCGAGCATAATCTCACCTACACGTGGATATAAAGAACGTCAAAAACGGAGGTTGTATGCGAAAATTATGAATTTTGAAGATCGTGGCACACATACCAAAGCTTATCCGAAGATTACGCCCAGCGTACTGATTATGCCCAACGTACTCCAAAATTACGCCTAGCGTAATCCCATACCCAACAGCCTATAAATAGAAACCGAGATCAGCCATTTGCCTTGCCATTTTTCTTCATTTCTCTCTAAGTTTTGCATCATTTTGCGTGCCAATTATATTCCGAAGCCCCGGTATCATTCCCGAGCCTTGAAGCAAGTTCCGAAGCCCCGAGGATCCCGAGAAATGAGATTCCTGAGCCGAAGCCCTGCCCGCGAGGAGCCCGGTTTTTGTGAAGATCTTCCAGATCTACCCAAGAATACTACTTCTACAATTCATAGTGTTGTCCGATCATCTTCTGCTCAAGTGAGTGTATAGTCACTTTCTTCTTACACATAGATATGAAGTATTTTATAAAATACGTGTTATGTGTATATATATTGTTGTTTATATGTGTGAGTGTATAATTACTTTCTTCTACCGCATAGATATGAAGTATTTGCTATCAAACATGTGCTATGTGTTTACACGTTGTTTGTTTACTTGAGATGGATGTTGAACAAATGTTTTATACAAGTTTTTAAATAATTTAAATTATATATATGTAATTTATATCTACAAATATGTTGGGTAGAACATGGGTAGATAAAATAGTTAGTGTGTGATGAAAGATGAGTTTGAGGATGAGACGAAAGATGATATAGATCGTGAGATGAGGGTGACAGGTGAAAAATGAGTGAAACCTTTACCTAAACGATGGCCCCCGTCATTCAGCAGAGTAGGGATGACAACCACGGACTATTCTAGATAGTCCAGTGGAACACTAGCAAGCTCGCAACTTGTAGGTGTTGTGGACTTGATGTTCACCGGTGTACTCTAAAAACCCTGGCAGCTATAGATTTAATGCCTCATAATAAAACAATGGTAGTTATGGATTTAGTACAGTGTACATGAACCATGGTAGCTATGGATTTAGTACGGTGTAAATGAACGATGGTAACTATGGATTTAGTGTTATGTAGATTAACCTTAGGCAACAATGGGCTTTGTGCCAATTCCTTAGGTCAATCCTTAGGAACGAATGAAGGAAGGATAGTCGATTCTTAGGATAAAACCTAAAAAAAAAAGAAGAAAATGAGGATGGGTAAATGGGTTGATTGTTTGATGATTGAATATAATAATTATATTATTGTGGGTTGAAAACCCTATATGCTCACCAGGCTCCCAAGCCTGACCCACTCAGTTTTCTTTGTATCAAAGGTATCAATACGAAGACATGTTTCACTGAGAGATTAAAAGAGATGTAAATCATTAGTATAAATAAATGTAAGTTCTGTATATGCTTATTGTCTGTATCGGAACATAATATCCCGAGATTTTGTTATATAATGAAAATATTTTTCTTTAAGAAATGCTTTGATAAATTCTTATCATATTTTGTTTTGGGGACGAATTTCGCAACAATTTTCTTTAAACGATTACTCTGATTAAAAAAAAAACAAAGAATAAAAAAATCGGTCTTTTCTGACCGTGAAATTGGGGATGTCATATGTTATGTAATAATGTTGAATGTTTTATAATTAGGGGACATTTTGTTAACACAAGCTAAAATAGAACGTTATCAATCGTGTTAAAATATTGTACATTAACTGTCACTAAAAACCTACTAATCAAACTAATTTAAAATCATCTTTCTAGAAGATCCATAATATATCATGTTCATCCTAGTGCGAAACTATGTAGCAGCAATAACAGGTGTCGCCAATATACCAATCGGATGACCTGAAACAAGCTGCTCCATGTACATCAACATAAATACACCTCCCTCTCCAAACATCCCTTCGTGTTGGGGCACGTCTATACCAGTCGTAACAGTAATGGATGCTTTCTGAACAGACAAATCCATGTGGTTCCAGTAGCCAATGTGCAGTAGAATGTGGTCCATAATCTATTCAAATTGGACAAAATCAATAATGTTCACGACGCCAAAAGATTGCAAGTTGTCGTACAAATTCAATGACAACGTGTCCATCTATAACTCGCCAAGTACCTAATGATGTGAGTTGATGCATATTGGAAAATAAACTTGTTTAAACACACAACCGTTGCAATTAATTAGAGTGTTTAATTAGTGTAATATGACAAATTAATTAACTCATATATATTAATTTTTTAGTCACATGGTCAACTTTTAGTCAATCGGATTTCCCATTGCACTTCCTGCCCACCATAACATCTCAAATGCACTGAAAAATGACGATGACATAATTGTCCATCGTGCATCGTTCGGTTTCCGCTCATTCAAAAGCCCTCCCCATATGTCAACATGCTGCAGTTAAATTTAATTTTAACATAAGGACCTTATAAATTATTTAAATTTTAAATATAAAAAATATCTTTATAGCGTTTCATCTAAAAATCCCAAGTCATTTGCATAAAAAAGCAGATCCTAAAACTTTGCTTCCATTTTTTCATTGTATAACCGATGTTTCATAAAAACAACCGGTTTATTTCCCACATATAGAGAAGGGGCGTTACAACCCGACTCACATACAACTCCAATAAAAGTGTCGGGGGATCGCTGACAGATACCGGGGGGGGGGGGGGGAGATGGTTCGTTGCATATTACCCCATCTGTACGATATCAAGGGCATTTTGAACCTACATTATATACGTAATTAATAACTATCCATATACTAATAAAATTATAGTAAATATAATTTTTAACATACTTACCGAAAAATGTATGGAGAGCTAAGATATTCTGAAGGTTTTCATAACCTAGCCAGACGACTTGGTTTTGCAATAGGAGGCCCGATATATGATTATCCGCATCCACAATGTCACCATCAACAACTTTTTTTTTCTTCTTCTACAAAATCATATTATTTTTTTAATATACTTTGTTTTTGTTTTCAACAACCTTCATTCACGATTTGTTTTTGTTTTCTACAATCAAACTCTGGTGGATTATCCACATCATCATCCTCGTTTAATCAATTTGATTTCCGTGGACTACCGAATTGTTGGCTCACCGGGCTTGGCATCATCCACATTCTCATTCACCTACATTTAATGAAAAAATAATTAATAAAAAGAAAAACAAATTTAACAATTAACTGACCTAATTTTTTTTTTCTATACAAAGAATATACTAAATATAACATTGTACTTTGAAAACGGGGTGACAATAACATATTTTATGACAAAGCGGAAACTACCAAAACACAAGGTTATTTTATCAAGACATTATATCAAAGTATCTATCAATTATAAACATAGAAAATTATTCAAATGGATAGTACATTGCTATAATTAATACATCATACTATACTTAAGACATTATACTTCAATTTTTTTTCAAATTGATAGTAAATTTCTAAAATTAATTATTTTACCTCAAAAGCTTCGTTAAAAAAAATTCTTCCAAGCCATCATCTTCTCGAAATCCCCTTTATTTTTCATTCATTGGATTTCTTCCTCCAAAGACTGAAGTCTTGCCATTATTTCTCGCGCGATTCTTTTGTTAATTCCCGCCGTATGAGTTCGTTCAGTGGACTGGGTAGATTGGCTGTTACCATAGGATGGATCAGATGAAGATGCCCCCTACACAAATTATTTGATATATAAATAATAGTTGAAAAATATTAATATACTAGATTCTACTTTTAGCATTTTACTTACATCTTTTCTAAAGTTGTAGCATACAGAAGAAGGGACTTCATACGATTCACACTTAAAGCTAGTAATATATGACAAATAATGTGCAGTAGAGGACTCGACATCTGAGACAATCATCTTTTTTTTGGATTGGTGCGCCTTGTCCTGGTCAACATCGTAAACATCGCAAACTTCCTCCCAAGTCAACCTCCTAATATGAAACCGCCGCAAGATACGAAGATATAAATTATTTCGTTGTATCGCAACACTTCCCCGAACTATTGAGAACATCTCCCATATCCATATACTGTAATAAATATACATTAATTTATAAGTGTTAGTACTAACTAAAATTATCAAAAAATAAAGACTGAAAATTTTATAAATATATTTTTTAATTACTTAAATATATCTTCAAAGGATTAACAAAACCCGATAGTGTATACACATACGACTTTGTTGGATGATTGCACATATGACCCTCAAATTTTTTAAACATACCCGACAATCTAGGGTATGTTTTAGACTATAGATAACTCCTCCAAGAGAACCTATATTATATACAAAAGTATTATTTAAATCGTATAAAAAATAGTATTTTATTAAAAATATTAGAATGACAAATACCTATTCCATTGATCTAAGTTCCCCACCACCCACAAAAATTCATTGTTGACTTTATCATTGGGTTCTTTTCCCAAAAAACATTGATTGAGAATATATAGCAAAATGGCACGGACATCATCGTGAGTCGATATATCATTGAACCGTTGATTTATGATAAGGAGCTCTAAATCTTCTACAAGTAAACTAGTGTCCGTGTGATATGGAAAGACTCTTGACCGAAATGTATTTTCACCATATCTATGTTTATACATAGTAGAAATTTCGATCCTTGATATAGGACACTGGCCCATGTGAAGTCCGGACACAATACAAAACTCATCGGGCCCAAATGACAATGTACATCTAGAAAACTTAAAATGTAGACGCTCAACTACGTCTGTTTCAACAGTAGCACAACATATGCAGTAACAACCCATGAATAAGAAGTCCGTCTCCGAACTGAGCTGATAGGTCCAACAAGTAACCGAAGCTAGTTGTTCAAAAAATCTCTCACACTAGTCCGTTCAAGCCACTCAAAACTTCATGTAACTTATGACATGAAGGTTTGACAGATATGTTACATATCATCTTTTTGTTTGGAAGCTACAAAATTAAATAAACATTAATGTTAAATAAGGTTTTATAAAAAGAAAAACAGTGTTAAAGAAGTAGAGAAAGCACACAATATAACACTTAATCATTTCATATATTCAATTTACTTTGTATAAAAAACCAAAGGAAATTAATTGGCAACATTTTTTTTGGTTTTTTATACTAATAGTATACCAAATATAGCATTGTACTTTGAAAATGGTGTGACAATAACATATTTTATAACAAATCAGAAACTACCAAAACACAATGTTATTTTATCAATACATTATACTTCAAAGTATTTATCAATTATAAACATAGAAAATTCTTCAAACGGATAGTACATTGCTATTGTTTGCTATAATCAAGACATAGAAAACAACATACTTTATCACAAAATGGAAACATGGAATCACAACATATATACAATCATTAAAATTTCGTAGAACCATTTTTTTTGGAAAAAAAACGAAAAAAATAAAAAATAAAAAATAAAAAAACTGTAGGTTTAAGGAAACCTACGGTTTCATTTTTTTTCAAAAAAAAAAAAAAAAAAAAATCACGGAATCGACAATATATACAAGTGTTTATTGGTTATAACCTTTAAAAAAAAACCCGTAGGTTTTTGGAAACCTACGGTTTCTTAATTTTTAAAAAAGTTTTATGAAAAAAATCATGAGATCATAACATATATATATAATTTCTTATATGTTGCATCAAATAAAAAAAAATCCGTACAGTTCGTATGAAACCTACGTTTTTTTTTTCGGTCTTTAAAAAAAAAAACTTAACCTCATATACAAAACTACTCCTAATAAAGAACACAGTAAAATTTTGATGAAAATAAACAAACCTCGTTGTGCTTCGGGTGCTCCATTCAAAGAAAAAAAATAGACAAACAAACAAAACAATTTTGAAAAATACATTAATATGAATAATTAAACATTATATATTTTGGACTAATGAGCTATGAAAAAGTAAACAGATCGAGAAACAGTAGCCTATTGCCATAAAATAGTAGGTTTCAGGCGTTGACCGTAATCAACCGTGTCCAAATTACTCTTTCGTGGGCTAGTTTTAGCTAATATGTTTTTTTGGCTAATTTTGGATAGATAATTAGTGATTTTGGCTAGATTAGTATTTTGACCGTTAAACAAATATGATATGATTTAGATAATTAAATTATCAAAGATTTTGCTCATTTAAAAAATTCAAGTATCAAACTTATGAAGTATAGTCCAACTCCAGAGTCCAAAGTCCAAAAAAGTTAAAGAAAGCCAGCCCATTATCTGATTCCGAATTCTCGAATCTCTATCCCTCACTAAAAGGGTCGTCCGTCAGGCCATTGTTTTGGAATTGAAACTGAAATCGCCACAGGAAGAGAAGAGAAGAAAGTAGAAATCGAGAGAGGAGAAGAAATTGAAATCAGAAATCGCCGGCACGTTGGCACCGGTATCGCTCCTCACGGTCACGTTTTGACGGTCTCACGCTCACCTCACCTGTTGTGACGTGTTGGAGCAGGAAGCGAGCAAGAATTAAACAAGTAAGGCTAAAAACAAATTTTTATTTGATATTCTGACTACTGTTGAATTGAAATTAGGTTTATATGTTTGTGTTAATAGGTTTAGCTGTTGAAAACTTGAAATTAGCCAATTAGGTTTAGGTGTTGAAAGTTGAAATTAGCTGCTGTTGAAATTGGGTATAGCTGTGTATTTGATTAACCGTTGAAAATTGAAATTAGGATGGGCTTTGCTTTGTAGCGTAGATAAGGAAGATGTTTCCGCAATGAAAATCGTACTTTCTATTTTTTTTTTTTAATCTTATCTGAGTCCGCTCAAGGCCTGAACGTTATCTGACTTTCTTTGGTGTATGAATTCACAGAATTTTGTTGTCGAAAATTGAGGCTCCTTTCTTGTGTGGAAGAGCTACAACAGATTGCTCGAAAAGGAGGCGGCTTTTCACTTGTAGTGCTCTGTTGATCACTTGGAATCGAAGGGTTCAGTTGATCACGATCTCCTGTAGCTGTTTGTTGGATATCGTATATAGCTAGGGTTTGTTGGATATCTCGATTTGGATAGGTTTCTGCTAGTTAGCATCTGATAATCAGCTGTTGAGAGTTTTTTTCTTCTGTTCCTTTTCTGATTGTACCATTGGGCTCAATTATTATGGCCTGGGACATGCTGTACCAAAAAAATGATTTATAGTGACGTTTTGCTTATTTGTTTTCTTATTTCTTATATGTTCCTGGTTTTCTGATGAAAATCTAGGGAAAAGTTCAAGTAGTTCTAAAATTTTGTTCATAGCAGACTCAACTTGTTTGAGAAAATTTTGTTTTTTTTATTTTTATTTTTTTTACTGGGGTATGGGTAGCCAAGGTTTTAATAGTCAAACAAATGGGCCAAGATTGGGCATCACAGAGCCAATATCTTTGGGGGGGCCAAGCGAGTATGATGTAACAAAGACCAATGAGCTTGAAAAGGTTTTATGTTACTTTCACTTTTATTTATTTATTTATTTATTTATATAACTGGTGGCATAGTTTAAGCTGTCAGACATTTATTTGTTTTACTTTGCTTAGTTCTTGGCTGATGCTGGACTGTATGAGAGTCAGGAAGAGGCCATAAGCAGGGAAGAGGTTTTGGGACGGCTGGATCAGGTTGAATAACATTTCCAAATTTGGATTTCCTGGTTAGATTATTTTCATTGTATGTTTTACTTTTGCTGTGAATGTTTCTAAAAATGAGCAGATTGTGAAAATCTGGGTGAAAAAAGTTAGCCGGGCCAGGGGGTTAAATGAACAGCTGGTACAGGAAGCTAATGCCAAAATTTTCACCTTTGGGTCCTACCGTCTTGGGGTATGACATTATTCCTAATATTTCCTTTTGGTGAAAGATAAAAGTGGTTTTCATGTGCAGTTGTTATTCTCTTTAGTGTTTATACCATTTTCGTAACAAATGTTGTTAGTTTTCATGTGTCTGATACACTTGCCATCACATGGAATTAAGAATAAGTGGTTTTGAGTTTTGGCAGTTACATCGGTTTATGTTACTGTAATATACGTGATAATGTTGCTGCATTTGACTTCCATCTCGTTTCTCCAAACTTAGCATAGTCTTATCATCCGCCAAAAGTTTACATCTTTTATATTTTCTTGTCTGTTCTTTTAGAGTTCGTGTATAACTAAATATTGGTTTACTACATGATGCTCTACACCGTATATTAGTATGGAAGACAGTTGTTTCTCTGTCACATGCTATTGTGCTTGTTAGGCTAGCATTATACATACCTCTTATTACTCTTGGTAGCACCTTATAACATATACCTTTCTAAAACAATGAAAACTGTACACAACCCTTTTAATATACTTAATGGTTATTTGGTTACCTTTTATAGGGTTCTTCTTGACATTTTATGGGAGACACGTTATCTTTTTAAGTTTTACGTACTCTCATCCTTGGTCTTAAGCAACAAAAAACTTCTATTAATGTCTTCATCTTATCACTCGTACTTGCAACGCTGTACATTTGACAATGTTTGTTGTTTGTAATACATAGTATCCATCCTATGCATTTAATGTCACTAGCTCTCTAGCTTCTGTTGTATTTAGCTTAGCAACCTTATTTACATAAGCTTCTATCTAGCTCATAGTTTTTTTGTTAGCTCCTCACATGCTTAAGCTTTGCCCCTCATATTGCTTGCTAGGTTTTTCCCTTGGCCAGTTGATTGTTTTAAGTAGTGTATAAGCCTGTAAGAGTTTATGGCATCTTATTTATAACTATGGGAAGGAGTGCTGGAGACAAAGAAAAAAAATCATTCTCATGCTTGGGAAGTCAACGACTAAATATAGAGAAATAAGTAGGGGACCTTTATATGGCCTGCATCGACCTAGAGAAGGCATACCATGAGAGAGGAAAGAGGGTTTTAGGGCGATATGTCTGGTATTGGTAGTCAAGGACCTGTGTTTGTAGGTGAGAAAGAGTCTTTGAGAGTGAAAATAGAGGTCCATTAGAGAAATCTGTTGCTAAGTGGTACCCCTGCCCCAAATGTGTTTCTTGAGAAGTTGCATTTTGATATATTATTATTCATTGAAGCCTAGATGAGTAGGTGTAGTATGCATAGTCATTCCCCTTGTATACAATATACATAGAAGTTGTATTTTGATATATATATACTTGTGGCCTCACCTCGTCTTGTTTCTATATCATCATAATATTATTATTATTATTATTATTATTATTAGGTGCATGGTCCTGGTGCTGATATCGACACACTCTGTGTTGGACCCAGACATGCATCACGGGATGTAAGATCTACTCTGTCTCTACCCACTTTTGGCTCTTATAATCCTAATGTTCAGTTCACTCAACTAACTCACTCATGCTTGTATCATTTACAGGAAGATTTCTTTGGTGAGCTTAAAAAAATGCTCTCAGATATGCCTGATGTCACAGAATTGCATCCTGTACCTGAGGCTCATGTTCCTGTGATGAAATTCAAGTTGAACGGTGTTTCCATAGATCTTCTCTATGCAAAACTTTCACTTTGGGTCATACCTGAAGTAACTAGACTTTCCTATCTTTCTTTCATCTCCATCTGTTGTACTTGGTTACTCTACTCATGAGCTCCGTTTTACAGGATTTGGATATTTCTCAGGACTCAATACTGCAAAATGCAGACGAACAGACGGTTCGGAGTCTTAATGGATGCAGAGTTACTGACCAGATCCTGCGCTTAGTGCCTAATATTCAGGTTCGCCTATTTATAATTATAATAATCTCATTAGATTAGATATCCTTGTAATTTCTTTCTGTGTTGCAGAGTTTTCGCACGACATTAAGATGCATGAGGTTTTGGGCCAAGCGAAGGGGCGTTTATTCAAATGTAATGTTGAAGATTTCATTTTTAATTGGTAAATAAAATATGATTTTGTCACCTGTTTAATGTGTGTTTTGGTGGTCAGGTTGCAGGATTCCTAGGTGGCATAAACTGGGCTTTGCTGGTTGCACGGATCTGCCAGCTGTACCCTAACGCCCTACCGAATATGCTGGTTTCTCGGTTCTTCAGGGTGTACACTCAATGGCGATGGCCAAATCCAGTAATGCTTTGTGCTATTGAAGAAGGATCACTTGGATTGCAGATTTGGGATCCTAGAAGAAACCACAAAGACAAATACCACTTGATGCCAATCATCACTCCAGCTTATCCTAGCATGAACTCCAGCTACAATGTGTCTTCAAGCACTTTACGTATAATGACGGAAGAATTTAAAAGAGGCCACGATATTTGTGAGGTATGTTGTTAATGTATATGGAAAACTGAGAAATCAATAGAAACGGAATTACAGGTTAGTTTTTGTTGGTGTAGGCGATGGAGTTGAACAATGGTGGTTGGGTTGAACTTTTTGAACCGTATCGTTTCTTTGAAGCATACAGGAATTATCTCCAGATAGATATAGGTGCGGATAATGATGAAGATATGAGGAACTGGAAAGGCTGGGTGGAATCTCGCGTGCGCTACCTCATACTAAAGGTGATGCTCATACCACCACTTTTAAATTATTATTATTATTTTGAAATTGAAGTTGTATGTATGTGAATAGATCGAGAGGGACACGTTCAAAATGCTGCAGTGCCACCCACATCCAGGGGACTTCTCAGACGGGTCAAATCCTTACCGCTGCAGTTACTTTTTAGGTCTTCAAAGGAAAGAAGGCGTTCCTGTGAATGAAGCCAAGAAGTTTGATATTCGGTTGACAGTCGATGAATTTAAAGCAAATGTTGGTTCATATTCATCCTGGAAGCCCGGAATGGAGATAAATGTAACACATATAAAGCGTCGTGACATTCCCGCTTTCGTTTTTCCTGGTGGTGTTCGACCTGCCAGACCCCCTTCTGCAACTACAAGACGCCCTCCTACTTCAGAAACACACACCACCACCACCACTACCAACACCAGTAGTGGTGTTGGTATGATTGATAGGGAAGATGATGCAAGGAAACGGAAGCGGGAGGATGATGACATGGAAGCTTCTACCAAGTTGCTCATAGATGAAGGCAGCGGATTTACTACTGCCAATGCTACTCTTGGTCCATCTACTGCTACTGCTACTGAGACTAATCACGTAGTGGGTCTGTTGACCTCTAAAGAAGCAGAGGCCGAGAAGATTGCGATTGAGAAGTTGATGTCTGATCCGTATCAGACTTCCCCACAACAACCACCACCACCACCACCACCACAACTTGAGGAGTTAGAGGAGCTTGATGATAATTGTCACATGGAAATGGAATCTTCAACTTCAACCAATAAGGAATTCGCTGTTCCTGTCACAATCAGCAATGCAACAGGCGCCTCTTCCAGTCTGCAGTTGAATGGGAGCTTAGAAGAGCTTGAGGTCAGTTGCTAATACTTTCCCTTCCATTTTTAGTTATCACTCCTTTGATTTTCTGGAATCTCTCACACACACACTCTCTCTCTCTCTCTCTCTCTCTCTCTCTCTGTATATATTTATATAGGCCCCTGAACTTGTTGTGCCCTTGCCGACTGCATCTCATGCTACACCTGCTTCACAGAAAAAGCCAATTATCAGGTAGGTAAATGTAATTGAATTGATTTCATTGGACATCACCCGGGACCCAATGATGAATGCTAACTGAGAGAGGATTCTCTTATCTGACAGGTTCAGTTTTACCTCGTTGGCCAAGGCTACTGGCAACAGCACTTGAAACTTTTACTGTCTTCATTTGATGATGATATCATGTAATCCCCTACCCATAAAGTATATCTACTTTTATGTTCTGTTTGTTGTATAGTGGTCAGTGGTAAATTCTTGAGATCAAGTAACGAATGTTTCTGTCATTTGGATTCCCGTGTTCATGTTTAATAAGAACCTCAACCTCAAGTATGAGATTATATATTATATTATATTTTTTTTCCTGGCTATCTAAAATACTGATTCATATCATTAAGGCAAAGGAATGAATCATTTTAATGGTTCAGAACAACTCAAGTAAACTGCTTGTGCTAATATGCTAGGAAAAAACGTTGAATGTTAGACACCAAATTCTGCAAACTAGGAAAAAAGTTAGCATAAATATAAGGGTCGTAACGCCCACCAATTAGTTAGGGTTGAAGAAGGGGACCATACCATTCCTGGTGGTGTGGCATCCCAAGCCAGGCCTCTCTCTCTCTCTCTCTCTCTCTCTCTCTCTCTCTCTCTCTCCCTCCCTCCCTCCCTCGCTCGCTCTCCCTCCCTCCCTCCCTCCCTCCCTTTCTCTCTCTCTCTCTCTCTCTCTCTCTCTCTCTCACAAAAAAGACCAATGTGCCTATAATAAGAACACATCTCTTCTTCTATTGTTGTTCTCCCTTCGTTCTTCTTTCCACACAAGCTTCTTGATGCAGCTCCTTTCTCCTACCACTCCTAAGCCACCGTCTGAAGCAGATCCGTCGGACTCCGCTCTCGCCAACGCTGACATCCGCCTGTCTCCAGCGCCGATCAACCTTCATACCCTTTCTCATTCTCTCTTGTCTGATACATCCCCTCTCGATTCAGGTAAATAGCATTTTTTTGCTGCTTTTTGTTTTGATCGAGTTTTTTGTGCTCGATTATTAATGGTTCAGAACAACTCAAGTAAACTGCTTGTGCTAATATGCTAGGAAAAAAACGTTGAATGTTAGACACCAAATTCTGCAAACTAGGAAAAAAGTTAGCATAAATATAAGGGTCGTAACGACCACCAATTACTTAGGGTTGAAGAAGGGGACCATACCATTCCTGGTGGTGTGGCATGTGGCATCCCAAGCCAGGCGTCTCTCTCTCTCTCTCTCTCTCTCTCTCTCTCTCTCTCTCCCTCTCTCTCGTAGCTGACCCAAAAAAGACCAATGTGCCCTAATAAAAAGAACACATCTCTTCTTCTATTGTTGTTCTCCCTTCGTTCTTCTTTCCACACAAGCTTCTTGATGCAACTCCTTTCTCCTACCACTCCAAAACCACCGTCTGAAGCAGATCCGTCGGACTCCGCTTCTCGCTAACGCTGACATCCGCCTGTCTCCAGCGCCGATCAACCTTCATACCCTTTCTCATTCTCTCTTGTCTGATACATCCCCTCTCGATTCAGGTAAATAGCATTTTTTTGCTGCTTTTTGTTTTGATTGAGTTTCTTGTGCTCGATTATTAGTTTGTTGTTTTATGATTTCAGTTGGATATTTTTCATATTATCGTTTATTATTGTAACGACCCGTTCCCGGTATGTTGATTTATTGGTAATTATAGTGAGTTTTCTAGAGGGACTCGGCGAGTTCTAGCCTGACTCGCCGAGTCGGGTCGCGTCTGAGGGCACGCGTGAGCCGGGGACTCGACGAGTCCATGTCCCCGACTCGGCGAGTCCACCTGTCTGGGTGAAACCCTAAAATCCCCGGGTTGCCCACTATTTATACCACCTTATAGCCCCATTCTCGCCTCCCTCACCCTGAGAACACAGTGTTAGAGCCCCAAACCTCCATTGAAGAGCTTATTTGTGAAGGTGTGAAGAAGGAGAAGAAGGAAGAAGCAAGGAGAAGGGTTGGAGTGCAAAGATCCAAGGCCAAATCAGAGTTTATTGAGGTATTTTCGGAGTCCCATCTTATTATATGCTTTAAACTTCCATTAGGGCTCTCCTAAGAGCTAGTTGGTGCTTGTTTCAAGCCTTTCTCTTGCATGAACGTCTTATTAAGTCGAAATATCTATGGATCTGAATGTTGGGGTGTTGTAGAGCCCAGATCTACTGTCTTTTTGGGGTTGTATTGCATGTTAGCCATAGATTTACTCATTTTATGCATCTTTTAGCCTTATTTCCCTTATTCATGAGGTTGTGCACGTAAAGTTGGAAACTTTACGTGGTAAAACAGCTTATTGGACTCAGATCTATCAATTGTATGCATTGGATTCAAACAAAATCAAGTAAAAATCTGTTGCATGGCGGCGACTCGCCGAGTCGGAAGAACGACTCGACGAGTTGGGTCGCGAGTCCCGAGTTCTTCAGTTTAATCAGTGTTGAGTGGACGAGGTGAGTTAGGGAGTGGACTCAGCGAGTTGAGAGTAGACTCAGTGATGAAGGGACTCGGCGAGTTTGTTCATACAACTCGGCGAGTCCAAGGCAATCTTCTTGGGGATCAAGAACAACTCGTCGAGTCTGTTCATACGACTCGGCGAGTTTGGGGATCAAGATTGTCTGAGTTCTTGGATCCAGAGGGTACTCGTCGATTCGATGCCACACTCGACGAGTAGCAGCGTGAAGAGCTGAGAGATGAGACTAGGACTTGGCGAGTTGGGTAGCCCGACTCGGTGAGTCAGCCCAGAGTGAGTTGACTTTGACCAAGGGTAAAAGAGTCATTTTACCCCCAAGTGTAGTGTTAGTATTTGATTGAGTGTGTTTATGGATTTGTAGCCGAGGAGATTCAGGAGCAGCAGCCGTTAGCTTTCCGAGCCACACACTCATCAGCTAGCTTACGAGGTGAGTTTCCCTCCAGTAAGGACGGGTCTAAGGCCACAATGCCGGCCCGTCCAGTTAGCAGTAGTTTCCGGACTTCGGTCCGATGTAGTAGTTAGTATGTTTGATGCCTTCGTGGTTCAGACAGGATTTATGCGCTATGTGTTATGTGTTTTATGTTATGTGTTCCGGGCTACGGCCCGATGCAGTATGCAGTATATTTGTTCATGCTAGATGATATGCTATGCTATGCTCAGACAGTTCCGGACTTCGGTCCGATGCAGGGGACACGGTCCCAGTCAGTTCCGGACTTCGGTCCGATGCAGTCAGTTCCGGACTTTGGTCCGATGCAGGGGACAAGGTCCCAGTCAGTTCCGGACTTCGGTCCGATGCAGTTTCCGGGCTTCGGCCCGATGCAGTGGGCAAGGCCCAATATGTGTTTATATGTTATTGTATGGTATGTGGTATTTTGGGGGAGCTCACTAAGCTTCGTGCTTACAGTTTCAGTTTTGGTTTCAGGTACTTCCGCAAGCAAAGGGAAGAGCTCGGGGTGACAGCATCGCACACACACTACAACACAGCTTTTGTCCTGGGGATAACTTTTTGATATTTTGGAATTGATGTAGTATGATACAATCTTCTGCACCGTATTTTATTATGTTTTAAGGATACACGCGTATGATTTACGTTATGACACTTATATTATGGTTTGATTATATTGAAAAAAGAAAATTTTTGGGTCGTATTTTTGGGTCGTTTCAAGTTGGTATCAGAGCCCTGGTTTGAGGGATTCGGATACACTTCCGGGTGTATCTGAACTCAAACTAAGGGAAATAAAAGATTTTAATAAAATAAAAATGTTTTACAAACAGAATTTTGAAAACACTTAGAAAGAAAGAATTGTTTTAACAAGATAGAGGTGTGTGCATGTGGTCAGCCGAGCTCAAGTAAGTACTCCCAAATTACCCATACAAATTATTTGTTCAGTTTCAGTTTCAGTAGAACAGCATGCTAGTGTAGGACTAAGGATCTAGGGTATGCCTTATGTGCCTGCTTATGTGTTACAGCTTTATGAATATTGCATGCTAGAATTGGGTAGACAGTAGTAGGATAGCCTGTTTAGGTTATGCCTGATAGTATGAGCTTAGCATCCTATGCTAGTACAGTTTCTTGTTATAAGAATAGTGTTGCTGGAGTCTGTTTCCCTTATCCGAATGCTGCTTGCTTCGTGCTTGGTGGGGTTCCGAGTAATGGGAGTTAGCCATTAGGTGGACACGTTACACCACATGTAATCAGGTTTGAATAATCCCAGAGTGCTGGAACTGGCCCTACTGCGCAGCTCTTGTTTGAGTCCAACCGTTGTAGGGACGGATCTTTTACTTGAAGGATTATCCGATCCTCATCACATGTGATGGTGTTCACGTGGTGGCTAACTGGCAGTACGAGGAGACCTACAGCAGCTGAGGACCAGTCGTATTGAGCTTGAGTTTTCTCTAGGGCAAGCCTAGGATGAGAGTAGCAGAGAATAGCAGCGGTAGAAGTGACTTGGGGAAGTCAAGGCAGTTCTTGAGGAAAGTACGGATAGATGTGGAAGGTAGTAGGGGCCCATACTACTGAAAGCAGAGGATCCGTACTCGAATCAAGGAAGGCCAAGACAAGACCAGGAAGCTAGTAGTCGTATCATGATCCCTTGAAAAATTTCAGTGTTCTGATGTTGTTATGATATGTTTCAGAATGGTAGTTTTGCGTCCGAGGCCAGCAGCCGGCAGTTCAGATGCCGGAGGGGGATCAGGATCGGGATCAGACCCGGAGGTCGGACAGATGGATGAGCAGACTAGAGAGTTTCTTTCTTCTGAGGTTACTCGCATCATACTAGAGCAGACTCCTGTGATCTTCGGTTCGATCAAGGAGGGCATTTTGGAGATGATGGATGAGAGACTGAGTACTTTCCGTACTGAGATGGCGGCCGTGATGGGGTCGCGCACACTCACTTTCAGGGAGTTCAGGGCATGCGGGGCTCCTGACTATCATGGGGCACGGGACCCCATAGCGAGTACCAGGTGGTTGGTAGATGTGGCCAACGCATTCCGCACCAGCAGATGTCCCGAGGGGGACAAGGTCAGATTGGCGTCCTGTCTTCTGAAGGACAGGGCACGAGACTGGTGGGAGGAGGTCGGACATGCCATCGGGGATGATGCGGCACTGGATGCCATGACCTGGGCTGATTTCTCTACCAGGTTCAGAGCGGAGTTTGCACCGGTCATTGAGGTGCAACAGTTAGCTAGGGAGTTCCAGGATCTTACCCAGACTACCGAGACAGTGGCGGAGATCACCGCCAAGTTCAGGGAAAGGGCCCTTCTTGTTCCACAGTATGCAGCCGATGAGGAGATGAAGAAGGCCCGTTATCATGAGATGTTGCGGAGTGACATTCGTATGTTTGTGAGCCGGTCCAGTTGCAAAACACTGGACGACATG